CATTTTCCCATCTCTGACTTTACACAGTTTCTGAGAGTTTAACCCCTTCTTTCATAAGGCAGAAAGGATGGGTAAAAATTCACATTTTATTGCAGCATTCTCACCATCACAGACCACATCAGATCCTGATAATGAACTTGGTCTGTGATGAAGTTTTCAAGATGTTCCCAAGATGCCAAAACAAGGACATGACACAGAAATGAAGAGGCCACTATTTCAAGTGTCTAAACAATTACTTGACTCATAGCAGAGTGCTGCTACTCCTTTCTGGAACTGTGCAAAGGCACGCTGACCACTGTTACTGTGCATTTCACCCAAACATGGTAGGTGCTGGGAAGGTAATTCAGGCCAGCAGTTGTTGGAGCATGAACAGAGCATCCCTTCTGATGGGTGCTGTGAGGAGGTGGGGGATGGGGAGAGTGGGGTGGTGATGGCTGGGTGAGAGGAGAAAGAGTGATGGAAGGCACATGATGCGTGGCTAGAGAAGCAGCAGAGAGCTTTGAAACCTCAGAAAGGATCTGGGAGGAGATGAGTGCAGGAAAGGAGAAAAATAAACGCAGAGGCAGAGCGAGCAGGGAGGTTTCCACTCTACATGGAACAGAAGCTGCACGGAGGGTCTGAAGAGGAGCACGTGGCAAAGGTGCAGCTGCAGAAGAGGAAGACGAGCATTTGTTTTGGCTGCTTATACAACAAAGCTGTACCTACAGGTGCTGGCAATAGTCACTACACCCATCAGTGTAGGTAACAGATGTTGGACAAGTGCTGACAATTAACAAAACTTTTGTATCTGTTCCAAGCCAACCGAACTGGTTAACCTTGTGGTTCAGAGGAAGTTGTGATGAGGTGATCCAACTTTTGTTGGGACTATTGTTACAACACTGGCTCTAATCATCCTGCCTTCTGCGCATCTCTCAAAAAACATTCAGGGAAGTTTTGTCACCTCCATTAACTGTGCTCCCCAAAACAGAAAGATTCCAAGATCATAATGAAAAAAGTCAAAATATTTCTATTTATATATTTCCTTGCTGGGAAATTATGTGTAGCAAAATCAGTCCTTGCATTTGGGAATTTGTCATTTCCAGGAAAAGTCCATTTTTACATGAACAACAAATTAAACTTGAAATAACATGTGAATTTCGTTTTCATTCTGTTTCTGTTTATGGAAAAAATTCTTCAAAGCTAGGATGAATCAGGGGACAATGTGTACTCAGGGGTTAGAAATGGAAATAGAGATGTTCATATTCCAGATCAGGGTAGTTTAAGGACTGGTGAGGGGCAAATAACACTGCAACAGTGATCCAAGCAAAACTTTCACATAGATTGATTTGTGCACATTGGTCTTCATACTTGCCCAGACTTTGCTGACTGCATTCTGTGAGGGTACTGTCAGATCATGTTTCATTTTTTTTTCCTACTGCAGCTTTCAAATCCCCCTCAGCTTCAGCAAAGCTACAGAGCAGGTAAAATAATAATAACGATGATGATGATGATGATGATGAAGATGAAGTAGTTTAGCATTGGCCCTAGGGAAAAGTGGAAAGCTGAATTTGGCAGGCTTGAATAGTTCACCTCCACACATTTTCCCCAGATGGAGACAGTATAGAAAATCACAAAATGGACACCCCTTCTCCCCCAAACCGTACTGTTGAAGAAATACTGCATGTGAATCCTTTTCACATTCTTACTGGCAGAAAAAGGGGGGGAAATGTGTGCTACCATTACCAACTAAAAATGGAATTCTAAATGCTTGAAGAATATGTATATAGGCTCTCACACACTTTCACATACACAAAAGCACAGTCCCCTGCTGTCTGCTAGACCAAGTACCCACCTGCACTCTCAGATAGGTTTCAAATTCGTAACTGATTTTAAGGCAGCTTACTTGCTGAGGTGTAACAGTAGCACATCTTTTTATGGGCAAAATTGTTATTAATTTTTCTGTTTATTTAGAGAATTTTTTTGAGACTTCATAGAAAGTAGATAGGGGTCCACGTCATCATGAGAAACACTCAAGCTTTGTGAGTATTTGAATAGCTGACTGAAGATTATGAGTGAGTGAATGTATATTAAAATGTTCTTGTTAGAAAACCCTCAGGGGACTGGTTGTCTAAAATAGTGGAGTCAGGGCTAGGGATTCATAAATGTTTTCAAGGACAACATTTACAATGGAGAAAAGAGCCTCATCATGAAAAGCAGCAAAAATGCATTTCCATTCTCTACTACCTCAGTGTTTCTTGGCAGACTCACAGCGAAACAGTTTTTGCTTTGAGTCTTTTGTTTTGGCTTTAGCTTCCTCCGCTTTCTGTTTCCTTCCTTCTCGTTTCCTGGCCTTTGCCAGAAAATTTGGGTGACTAGCTGTTAACCTGAATTCTCCCTGGGAAGAGACCTATTTCTCCACAATGAGTATTGGGTATATTTAAAGATTAATTCCCCTTTCTGACTTGAGAAAGTCTCCATTCTAAACTCCCTTAACTGGAGACTGTGTAGTTGGAATTGGTTCTCAGAAAACAGAAAGGGAAAGAATTGTGAAACAGAAATCACTTACAGTGGCAATCTTTATTTCTAGACCCTCCAGGTAAAGTCAAACCCCAGAGGATTGATGTTATTTAGGATTTTACCAATCTCTTTTTCATTCTTGTACTGTAACTAAAATTTGGAGTCTGTATAGGAAATGTTATTTTCAGGCCAGTGTCACTGTAACCTATGTGACAACCTTTTTACTAATCACAGGAGTGACAACACAGTAGGATGCGCAAAGTATGAAGACCATGAAGTAAGCCTATCTCCTCTGAAAATGCTTGAATGAGTTTGGAGAACTAGACTCTGCTCTTCTGGCAGATCTTCTGGATAAACAAAGGCTTTCAAAAAAAAAAAAAGGGGGAAAAACCCCAAGAAAATATAAGTTTTAAGGGCCCATAAAAGCTCTAAATAAACACATTTTTTTGTGCTGTGCCAGAAGATCATGCTCCAGCTTCTCAGTTTAATTCTAGGGAGATGGTGGGTTAGTTTGGAGACTAAAGGCCTTAACATCAAGGAAAAAGGTCTTACTGATAAAACTTATAAATCTTCTGCTAACTGAAATGCAGTGCTGCCCAAACCAGGCAGGGGAATTTGGCTGCATGACAGAACAAGGAGTTTGCAGTGTCAAATTACTACAGACCAGAACTTGCTGAGGTGATGCTGGGCTGATCTTTCTGCCTGTTAAAAGTAACATTTCTGTGAGTCATCCTAGATAATTCCTCAGATGCTTTTCTAGTCCTAGCAGGAAACCTCTGCTTTCTGATGGCAATTTTCCCTTTGCTATAGCAGAGCCTGCTGTGGTTTCATAGAAAGGAAATCCTTATGTCCCTCCCAGATACACAGCTGTCAGGGCTGTGGTTTAGTTTGGTAGTTCTGATAATTTGACTGTATTATCCACAGCTTTTTTTTCTTCCCGTCACTGAGCTCTCTGCAATTGCCTTTGGGGTCCTGTGCTTTACCAAGATGGAGGTAGTTGGTACCTCTATCTGGGTTGGTTGTTCTATGCATTTACATACCCACACACACATAAATACACACTGGAGATAAGAGCTGTAGCACCTTCATCTCAGAAAAATGGGGTGCATGTATAGAAAGGGGTCCATAGAAGCAGTGGCCTAGGTCTCCCTGATGTAAGACGGCTGTCAGTTTGTCCTTTGGGTGCGTCACTGCCAGGATCTGGCCAATGCCTCAGTTCGACTTTGTATTGGACAAGCTGGGCTGCAGAGCAGATAACTCCTGAGCCCCTGGATGCTCCTGCAAAAAGAAAGCCATACCAAATCTTGCCCCTGTCCCTGTAAGTGACGTACATCACATCAGTTCTGCTGCACTGCAGGAGTCAAACAAATCCCAGCTTGGAGCGGCATTTCACTCAACCAGCAATAAGGGCTCTTCTCTATAATCACTGGTATGGCATCAGTCATTTATCCTGCTCCATTTATGTAACATGGTATTTTATAGAAACATTCCTAGTCATGAGGAGGATATGGAAAAAGAGATGGATATAAGAAGAAGCAAACACATAAGGCTGGCATATATTATCCTCTTTTTTTCTTTTCTTTTTTTTTTCACAGTACTTTCTCTTGAATCACATGTGTAAATGCAAATATCTCTTGTTCTTCATGAAGAAGTTCTGCCCACACAAAGAAGAGCTCTTTGCTGCACCTTAAAATATCCACCTTGTTTGCAAGGCAGAACATCTGTTTAAAAAGAAAGCACGTGAGACAATACTTCCATTGCTAGCTCTGCCCTTTTCCATGTGGTAAGCACTGAAAAGAGGGAAGGTGTGCCCCCTGATTAATGTTCCTTGGCACAAGTGGTGCTGTACCTTCCAGGCAGTTATCTTGAAAGTTCTCCCTAATAACAAAGGTAGCACTGCAGTTACTTAATTACAACAAGTAAATGTCTGTGAAAGCAAACAAAGTAAAAAGGACCTTTCATCAGTAGCTAAGGTGTGCCAGTAACTGCAACTTAATATTCCTACAGGTAATAAACATATAACAAGCAATTATATTTGGAAGGCAGCAGTGCTCTAGCTGGTGATGTCATAAAATATTGACAACTGTCTTTAGTGCCCTAAAGAGAAGTGAAACACAATAGGGACACCATGGACTGTGTTGCTCTGCTAAACATATTTTCCCCAATGCATGCATGATCACTGCCCCAGCCAGGCAGTTGTCAGTGGCTATGCTGGTACTGCTCAGGGCTAGAGAACAGTGACCACACCCAGGTCACAGTGGGCTTGTCTCAGTCCTTCTTCAGGCTCCATGCAGTGCGCTGGGGTTTTAGGACATGATCAATGAGGCACTCAAACAGTAAAGAATTTCTTCCTTATATCTAACCTAAATCTCCCCTGTTTAAGTTTGAATCCATTGCCTCTTGTCCTATTGCTACAGTCCCTGATGAAAAGCCCCTCTCTGGGACTGTTCTTACCGCGTGAAGCTGAGGATACCTCCCAGCTGCCACATGCCACACTGTGTGAGGTGAGGTCATGCGGAAGCTGGTGCTTGGAGATGTCTGCGTGGGACAGTACTGGAGGAAAATGTGGAGTGAAGGAAGGCAAATGTGGTGCAGGTTCATGCACACTCAGGCCACCCTGGGGTGACCTGTTCTCCCTGCTGCACGTGGGTTTGTTTCAGAGGGAACCAGATGCCCTTTCCCAAAAGGGAAATGAAACAGTGCTTCTCCAGGATGGATGAGCAGGGGGTGGGAGTTATGGGGGACTGAGTTAGCTCACAGGCTAGATGACGGTATGACAGCATAGCCACTACAGCATCCTCTTTCACGAGTGGTGAGGGGAGATTGTGACGGGAGAAGAGGAGCGGCCATGAGGGGACATTGTAAAGGGAAAGGAGAGAGAAACATAAGGGAAGATCATAAGGGGAGAACAGGGGTGGCCAAGAGGGGAGCTCGTGGGCAGAGAAGCAGGGGCAGCCGTGAGGTGAGATCATGAGGAAAGATACTGAGGGGAAAGGAGGGGTGGCAATGAAGAAAGATTGTGAAAGGAGAGAAGGAACGGCCATGAGGAGAGAGCGGAATCGTGAGGGGAGAAGGGAAGTGGCTATGAGAGGAGGTCGTGAGGGGAGAGAAGGAGCGGCCATGAGGGGAGATTGTGAGGGAAGATCATGAAGGGAGAGGAGGGGCAGCCATGAGGGAAGATTGTGAGGGGAGAGCAGGGTCAACAGTGGGGGGAGATGATGAGGGAAGATCATGAAGGGAGAGGAGGGGCAGCCATGAGGGAAGATTGTGAGGGGAGACCAGCGGCGGCCACAAAGTGAGATCACGAGGAGAAAGGAGGGGCAGCCATGAGGGGAGATCGTCAGGGCGGAGCAAGGGCAGCCATGAGAGAAGATCATTAGAGGAGAGCAGGAGCAGCCATGAGGGGAGATCATTAGGGAGAGGAGGGACAGCCATGAGGGGAGATTGTGAGGGGAGATCGTGAGGGGAGAGCATGTGCAGCCATGAGGGAAGATAATGAGCGGAGAGCAGGAGCAGCCATGAGGGAAGATTGAGAGGGGAGAGGAGAGGCAGCCATGAGAGGAGATCATGAGGGGAGAGCAGGGTCAACAGTGGGGGGAGATCATGAGGGATGATCATGAAGGGAGAGGAGGGGTGGCCATGAGGGAAGATTGTAAAGGGAAATCAGGGACAGCCATGAGAGGAGATCGGGAAGGGAGATCAGGGGCAGCCATGAGAGGAGATCGGGAAGGGAGGGCAGGAGCAGCCATGAGGGGAGATTGTGAGGGGAAAGTAGGGGCAGCCATGAGGGGAGATGGTGAAGGAAGAGCATGGGCAGCCATGAGGGGAGATGGTAAAGGAAGAGCATGGGCAGCCATGAGGGGAGATGGTAAAGGAAGAGCATGGGCAGCCATGAGGGGAGATGGTAAAGGAAGAGCATGGGCAGCCATGAGGGGAGATGGTAAAGGAAGAGCATGGGCAGCCATGAGACAAGATCGTGAGGGGAGAGGAGGGGCAGCCATGAGGGGAGATCATGAGGTGACAGTAGGGGCAGCCATGAGGGGAGATCGTGAGGGGAGAGCAGGGGCAGCCATGGGAGGAGATTGAGAGGGGACAGCAGGGGCAGCCATGAGAGGAGATCGTTAAGGGAGAGCAGGGGTGGCTATGAGAGAAGATCATGAGGGGAGAGCAGAGGGAGCCATGAGAGAAGATCATTAGGGGAGGGACAGCCATGAGGGGAGTTAGAGAGCAGAGAGTAGGGGCAATCATGAGGGGAGATCATGAGGTGAGAGGAGGGGTGGCCATGAGGGGAGATCGAGAGGGGAGAGCAGGGGCAGCCATAAGGGAAGATCTTGAGGGGAGAGCAGGGGCAGCCATGGGAGGAGATTGAGAGGGGAGGGGCAACCATGAGGGGAGATTGTGAGGTGAGAGGAGGGGCAGCCATGAGGGGATTTCCTATGAGGAGAACCAGGACAGCCATGGGGGGAAATCGTCAGGGGAGAGCAGGGGCACACATAGAAGATTGTGAGGGGATAGGAGGGGCAATCATGAGGGGAGATCGTGAGGTGAGAGGAGGGGCAGTCATGAAGGGAGATTGTGAGGAGAAACCATGGACAGCCATGAGTGGAGATCGTGAGGGGAGAACAGGGGCACCCATAGGAGGAGATCATGAGGGGAGTGGAGCATCGGCCATGAGGAGAGACTGTGAGGGGAGAGCAGAGGCAGTCGTGAGGGGAGAGCAGGGGCAGCCATGAAGGGAGATCATGAGTTGAGAGTCAGCCATGAAGTGTGAGGGGTGATTATGAGGAGAGGGCAAGGGCAGCACTGAGAGGTGAGGGGCATTCATGAAGGGAGATCATGAGGGGAAAGCACAGGCAGCCATGGGGCATAAGGGGTGACCATGAAGGGAGATCCTGAGGGGTATGAGGGGTGTCCATGAGGGGTCGGGACAGCAGCTATACTGTGTGCCACTATGGGGCACTGATGAGCAGTGGCTGCGAGTGGAGATCGAGAGGCACCCTGACAGGAGACCTTGAGAGGAGATCGGTTTGCCTTTAGTGACATGGTTTTATAGTGGGCTTGGCAGTGCTGGGGTCACGGTTGGACTTGATGACCTTAAAAGTCTTTTCCAACTCAGTTGATTCTATTCTATAAGTACCAGTGATCTTATCTTACCATCAAAAGGCAAGATCTAGAAGACATCCCTGGAAATGGCACCATGACCCCAATTCTCATTGACTTGGGGATGCAAGAAAAGCTGTCATTTTGCTGAGATTGCCAGATAAAATTGCCAGGTGCAATTTTATATTACTCTAAGTGCAGCGCAAATGCTTGGGATGCTCCCATTGAAAAGGGGATAAAAAGGCAGAAAGGGGAGCTCCCACTCTTCCCTGTCCCTGGCTGACCTTCCTGCTGCTTACCGAGGGTCACCTAGTGACCAGCTGGAGCCAACTGCAGAAAGAGAATGCAGTAACTAGGGACTGCCAGGTCAGCCAGAGCCAAGCTACTCCATTTGAAGGGCAACCCCAGTTCTCAGTCCCAGGAGGAAATGAGCCAGCAGGGTTGTCCTGGGACACAGCTGCATGCCTGGTCTTGCTCTCTCCCACATTGCTTTTGGAATTTCCCCTCCTCTCAGCTCCTGGTGGTGCAGTATGTGGTAGGTGTCTTGCAGCCGTCAGGCACAGGGAAGCATCAGGGAGAACTTGGCCATTGCTGGCCCACCTCCCAGGGATAAGTGGGAAAACTGGGATGACTCAACTAAAACTACACACTCAGTCCTCAGAAATGAAAGAACTTAGCTGCACCCCGCCCCTTTAGAAGGCACCAAGCATGCTTTTACTTGTAGAAATAGAGTTCACACCTTTAGCAGAGTCTTCTTCAGGAATTCCAGCTGCTTTCTCACTTCACTGTGTATCAAACACCTCATCTTTGCTTCTGTATGTTTTAGACAAAAGGTGAGAGACAGATACTCTTAGTGGTCACTGAAATGTATTTGTAGGCGAACAGAAATCCCTGCCTTGGGGATTGTCTCAGAGATTTTAGAGTCTTCACTTATTTATGCAGAGGATAACATACTTTCTTGAGAGTCAGGCTAGTCCTGGTTAAACAAACCTTCAGTGATTTCCAGATGGAAGGCAAGAAGCCTGGCTAGTGTCAGTGTAAATAAAGACAGCAGGCATCTTAGCCCCTTATGCGGGCTACAATCTTCAGCTAACAAGCCATGCCTTGGGCTACTGAGAGGGGAATTTTGGTAATGTGCTCTTTGACAAATCTGAACAAACAGAGACTGCCAAATTCAGGTGAAAAAGCACCAAATGGCAGTCACTTGTCTGCACAGGTGCTTTCAGATGCTACTAGATGCTCAGAAATAAGTGTAAAAATTTAATCTTAAGGGTCCCAGCGTTGGCAAGGACTGACAGACACAGAATCACAGAATCCTAAGGGTTGGAAGGGACCTCAAAAGATCATCTAGTCCAACCCTCCTACAAGAGCAGGGTAACCTAGAGTACATCACACGTGAACTTGTCCAGGCAGGCCTTGAATATCTCCAACATAGGAGACTCCACAACCCCCCTGGACACACTGTTTCATTTTTCCTGGGATGAGTCAGAAAGTGTCCATGAGGATTCACCATGCAATAAGCTTGTCACTAAGATCAATGTCCTGCCTGGGCTGTAACAGAAAAGAGGCAAAAAAAGGTACCTTAAAGATTTAGATTTGAGAATTGGACCTAGGGCGAGACCCACTTTTCTGCTCCAGCTGTGTCTGATGCTCTTTCGGGCTTTCATCTAATGTCACAGGGAAACTTTTCTAAACTGAACCCACTATACTATAAACTGTGGAAAAACATTTTTACAGGAAAATTTCTACTTTGTGCATGCTTTTACATTTTATTCCTGCTGGAAAAATAATACCTTTCTACTAACTGATGGAAAACACCCTAGGAAAATACCAGTTGCAGCTTCCTCTTCTGGCTGTCAGCGCATTGCCAAGGTAGAGCTGCCATGATAGATAGCTGTCCCAACAGTTGCAGCCAATTTCACCTGCCCTGGACTAGACACTTTCCTATGCTCTTTAATCCTTTTTCCAACCTACCAACAGTTTTGGAAACCTCTTTGTTGCTGCCCAGCTTCCCCAAAAGGCAGATAAATGGGCTTCACTACCTAAACCTTCTCTCCCTGCCCAGATCAGGAAGGACCTCCTCAGTCTCTTCAGCCTGCAGAAAGAAGCAGCTAAAAGAGTCTAGCTTACAGGGCAGCCACAGGACTCAGATGCTGAGGTTGGGGATATGAGCCAGAAGCAGCAGAGAGCTGAGGTTCCATGCAAAGGATCTAGGGAGCACATATTATAAGTAAGGCTGGAAATGGATGGGGAACTGGTCTCCACCCATGTTGTCATTGCAAAAACCCAGCACGAACCTCTGAAGGCCACAATAAAGAGATGGAAGGCAGAGATGCTGAGGTGAAATGAGCACACAAATCTTGTGGAGAAGCAGGATATCTTTGAAACACAGCAGGACTGGCACTATGGCAAATGAGAGCAAGAAGGGAGGCAGTTGCAATGCAATCATGTCTGATTTCTTTTCAAATGTGTGGGCTTTTCTCTTGGTACTCTTGCAAAGTCTCTTGTCCAATTATGCAAAAATACTCTTTTGGTCTGTGTCATCTCTGCAGTGTTTTCTGGAAGATACTCTTCGGTTCTTTATCTGAGATCATGAGAAAAAGTCACTCTGCTTCTTCCATCATAGACAGGCTCTTTATAATAAGCTCTGTAATGGCCATCTCTATAAGCTGCCGGTATCAACAGGCTCAAGAGCCACAGGTAGCGTCTACCTTCCATAGGTCTTCATCACCTTCAAGTGTGACGCAAGGATACTAGAAATTACTACTATATTACACATGTGCAGAAGATATTCCTCATGAACACCTGCCTCTCACCCATCCTTTCACCTGGTCCCTCCCAGCTCTTGCTAGCCCCAGGCTAATGGCTGTTCCACTCCTGAGATGATTCCCCACTGACCTTCTGTCTGACCTGCTTCCCCTGGCTGCCTTCCCAGTGGGAAAATAACCTTCTTTGCACCACCATGCTGTTGGGAGGATGGGGAAAATGCAGGTGTGCAATTCCAGGAATGTGGCTTCCTGCCACCAGCAAGGCTGCTGTTCACTAAATCGCCAGTCACTGTTACCAGAGTGATGTTTTTTTCCTGCTGCAGAAAGTTATCACAGCTGCTGTAAAAACAATAGTCAAATTCTGCTGATCCAAGCATGATCTGCATAGAGGAAAAACATATGGAAATCAAGGGATTTCTTTAAAATACTGCAAAATATATGGGACGCAAATGTAGGATGGAGGAAGTTGTATAGACATCCTACACTTCCTTATGTGCCTCTACAAGGTATTGCCCTAGGGTGCAACAAAGAGGACTTTCCAAACCTGGGCTCACACAGGTGCTCAGTGTGCCCAGCCCTGCCTGAGTACTCAGATGTGCTTTCCAGTGACAGAACATTGTGGCATGCTGTGCACCTGACTTTGTACAACAAACCAAAATAAATAACCAGAACCACAAGTAGAAATGCCTGAGGCAAATAAATCTGTGGATCCACTTATATGTAAAATCTTTCCAGCAATATTATATCAGTTAGAAGTATGGGGCTTTTTTTGCTAATGTAGTTATGCCACTAAAAGCACTAGCATAGATTCAGTTACATCAGTACAAATTGCTTTTATACTCAGATTTGCTTCCCATAATGATGTTAAGCAGTTGATCCTCTTCAATGCTATGATACTACGAGATGCAGTTTTCCTCCTGTAGAGCCTTCAAGCATCTTGGGCTATTAGAAGAGATGATAGCAAAATCTGCCTGTTTTCTAGTTAGGAAGCTGAGGATCTCTTTGCCTATGTTACTGTGAGAGTCTGCCATCTGGGTAAACCGGTACATTGACATTAAAACTGTGGTGCAAAAGGGTTTGTTCAAATATTCATAATACTTGAATCTATATATAACTTGAACAGGAAAACATGTAGAGAGTTTTCTGATGCAGATGGCTTCCATGTTAACAGGCCTGAATGCTACCCATGGTGACAGAGACTGAGGAGGGAAGGTTGGGAGACAAGTGCCAGAGAAGGCTGGATCCTGAGGCCAGAGAAGGTGAGTGTTTCATGACCACTATTTGTAGGGACAGGGATGGACAGGTCAAGATATCTGTTAATGTGTCTTGTTGTGAGGTTTAGCTGGGAAAGAAGTGGTCAGAAGCTCAGCAGAGTACTGTTTGGAGACTCTAGACTGGAAATAATGTAAAATCCATTTGCCAATGAGCTTAAAAGGGAAAGGAACCTGGAACTCTTCACTGGCAAAGCAAGTGAAATTGAGCTGTTGTTCTTTCAGAGGGAGACATATTTATAATATGAAGGAAAGAGCAGGAGGAAAGTGAGGGTGAAACGACAGTCAGTGATTAGAGCCACTCTCACAGCTTGGAGCTGCTGAAAGAGGAAGGTTCCACTCCTCCACCCATTGTGTCCCTTCTGTCCTTGGCCAGATGCTGCTCTTTCCTCTGGCCCACTGGCTTTCAATTCACTATTGTAAATTCAGCCCAGTAACACCCTACAGGAAAAAACCCAGCTTAAAGCCTCAGAGGATGTTTTCTGCAGGGTTGGTGATTTGAATTGGCCCAAAGAAATAACCCAGTGAGCTGGCACTTCTGGGGCTTGATGAGTGAATGGTGGGGGCTGGAAAGGATGGGGCGACACAAGGGTCTGAGAGTCAATCTCTGAAAGTTAAGATTGTTTCTCTTTCCCTGTGTAATGCCAACGTGAAATGCTGCAGAAGAGGTAATGAAAGGAGATGTGAAGGGATAGGCTGGGCTCCCTGGGGGAAATGACTGGGCAAGAGCTGGGAAAAGACTGTCTCTGTGCTGGTAGAGAGGCAGGCACAAGAATAATTTAAGTTAGAGATGCAGAAATGCTTCGATAAGAATAAGGAAGAATAAGCAAATGAATCTGCAATGCAGGGTGTCAGCCTGGACACAGACTCACTGGAAGTGGTCTTCAGACCCGGAGGACTATTCTCAGAGGGGCAGAAGTGAAGAGTAAACCAGGGGCTGGGAGTGAGCCAGGAGAGACTTGCCATGGGAGAAGGTGTGGGGGGGATCCCAGGTGGGTTAAGGAGAACTGGTAACTTCAAGAATCAGGGAGGGGAAGCTGGGAGCATGTAAGAGCATCTAAGTTAATATCACTGCTGATGGATGGAAAGTTAGGCAAAGGCAACCTGGCCGGTAATGTGGATCAGTTAGCAGTGCTGGGTGAAGGTAAGAGAGGACTCAGCAATGCTAGAGGCAGCTTCAAGAAAACCGAGTGCCCTAGATGTCAGATGTTACATGTGGGAGGGCTGTGCTAGAAGGTAGCATGACAGCTTGAGCACAAAGAAATAAACAGCTAAGCAATTACAGGGGCCAGCAGCAAAATACTGATCTTTTGAGAAGGGCAGGGAGAGGACAGCAGTCAGTCATTAGGGAAGGAGTAGAGGAGATGACAGAAGGAAAAGGGGCTGCTGTGGAATGGAAGATAAAATGGGCAGATTCACCTGACAGTCATGTAAAGAGGCTGCAGCACCATAACTAATACTGTCTCAGCCTTCAGCATATGAGAAATGACACACATTGCATGAAGTCCCAGCCTGATCCTCTGGCCCTGACTACCTGTTCCACCCATATTCCTGCCTACTTTTGGTTCATGGTCCACCTGCATTCAGGTAGGCATCTGCCTTATCGTTATTGCCTTGTGTCATGGTTTAAACCCAGTCAGCCACGCAGTCTCTCTCCACCCCCCACCCCCCCACCCCCCACCCTTCTTGCTTCCACGCACCTCCCCTGGAGGGATGGGGAGGAGAATCGAAAGAATGTAACTCCCACGGGTTGAGATAAGAACAGTCCAGTAACTAAGGTATAACACAAATCACTACTGCTACCATCAATAATAATAATGACAAGGGAAATAACAAGGGAAGAGAATACAATACCACCCACCGACCGAGCCCGACTGAGCAAAGAGTGCCCTTCCGGGTAAATCCCAGTTACATCCCAGGCATGACGTGCTGTGGTATGGAATACCTCTTTGGCTAGTTTGGGTCAGGTGTCCTTTCTCTGCTTCCTCCCGGCTACCCCTCCTCCCTGGCAGAGCATGAGACTCACAAAGTCCTTGGTCAGACTAAACATTTGAGCAGTAACTAAAAACATCAGTGTTATCAGTGATGTTCCCAGGCTGAAAGTCAAAAACACAACGCTACCCCAGTTACTAAGAAGGATTAAAAATGACTGCTACTGCTAAACCCAGGACATCTGGGCCTAGGAGAAGGAGCCAGGACTCCCCAGAAGTGTTAGCACCACTACTCATACTCTGGTGCTTAAAGCCTTGAGCAGGGATCTTTCTGAATTCCTGGTACTAAACATGCTCAGTGTGAATTGTCCTAGTAGAAGATCCAGTGAGCTTTTTCCTGAGGTTGTGCAAACTGAAATTTCTCCAAAAGCTTCTATATCTTGACCAAATTTGGGCAGATTATTCCAATAGCAAAACTCCCTTCTCAGACTGAAAGACATCTCCCTGCTAAATGCAAAGCCCTGCTCCAGCATACTGGAGCAATGCATCTTTGCCAAAATCAGGTATCTGCCAAAAATCTAGGATAAACAGCCTTTATTCCCCAATCTCACTACACGTCTAAGAAAATTTCATCCCAAAGCAGCCACTTAGGCATGAACAAATTAGGCCTGAAAGCTGAAAGTCATATTATGAGCAGTGTCAGGTAATATTGATCTTCTGTGAACATCTTCCCACACTACCTCATGGCTTCGCTTTGCTTCTGCATGCAGGAAGCATAGTCTAAGGCACCCCAAGCCTGGGATTCAGTTGCACTAGGCATGGCTCAGGCAATGAACAAAAAGGCAGCCACTGCAACATAGTGCAGCCTTTCCTACCGCCGTTCTCCTGTTTCCTGTCATTCTTTGATCTTCCTTTATGTATTGTGCATCTTTCTCCTTTTCAACTTTATTTTGTGATGCCATATGTGCCTCTTTTACTAAAGACAGTGGTTGGGACTGCCATAGGAAGAAGCCCTGTGAAACTTTGTCTCCTTGGTATTCTCCTTTGTGCCCACTGGCAGAGGGAGGTGTGGGGGTAGGAGGTGGGAAGGGCTGTGGGTCAGAGAGGTTTGTACCCTCTGCTGAACGTTCATTTCACTTCTAAAAAAGTCCTCAGAAACAGTTCAGGTTGATACCTATCTTATGGTAAATTGAGCTATCGAAGACGAGCAACCTGCATCAAAGCCATGCTACGTAGAGCTTTTCCTGTCTTCACTACGAAATAGTTCCTACGGCTTTATCTAGGAGAAAAAACAAATGCCTCTTCCCAGGCTGCTCGGGACTCCAGAGACCCTGTGCGGCGATGTGGAACATCGCATGCTGTAGGTGACTATTCTGCAGTGGAGAGGTCCAGGCAAAACTAGAGTCTTACCCCAGTCTGAGGTCTAAGCTGGACCCAGCTGCTCTGCTTGGAGCCACAAGCCAATGATACCTTCTGCGGTGCAAGTGTGAAGCTTTGAGATGCCTTTGGGGCAGTGTCTTCTGTGCTGAATAGGTCCTTTTGCCCCCTTACCTGTGACCTCAGAGCCTGCGGGACTGCCAAGGTAGGACATGGAGAAGGGGGAGGTCAAAACACAGAGGTGATTTCCCCCAGTGCTGTTTGCCATTCCAGCTATGCTGACTTCCCTTTCTGGTGGTGGGAGGGAACTGTGACTTATTTCTTGTGTCAATGTTGTGGTTTAAGCACAGTTGGTAACTCAGCACCATGCAGCACCTTCTTGCCAACACCCCAGGTGGGATGGGGAGGAGAATCGGAGGAATATAAACCCCATGGGTTGAGATAAGAACTAAAGTGTAATACAAAATTACTACTAATATGAATAATAATACTGATAAGGGAAATAACAAGGGGAGAGAATATGAAACTAAAAAGGGGGAAAAAAGAAACCAAACAAACCCAATAAACACAAGTGATGCACAATACAATTGCTCACCAACTGCTGACCAATACCCAGCCTGACCTGAGCAGCAATGTGCCATTCCAGGTAACTCTCCCAAGTCCACACACTGGGCACAATGTGCTGTGGTATGGAATACCCCTTTGGCTTGTTTGGGTCAGGTGTCCTGTCTCTTCTCCCTTCCGGCTTCCCCTCCTCCCTGGGCAGAGCATGAGACTGAAAAATCCTTGATCAGTGTAAGCGCTACTTCAACACAACTAAAGCATCATTGTGTTATCTGCATTGCTCTCAGACTAAAGCCAAAACACAGCACTGGACCCGCTACCAAGAAGGAGAAAAATAACTCTTACAGCTGAACCCAGGTTAGTCAAGAACATGCTGTTCCTCTTCCTACTTCACCTGCCATTTGATTGCTACAGGGTAGTACTTTAAATATTTGTGGAACAAAAGGGGTACCTTAAAATAAATGTAAAGAAATGCTTTCTTTCTGGCTAACAGGTGATAGCTAGCTAGGTAATTTCTTTGCACCTCCCAGCTGTGTGAATCACGGCTATTCATCACAGAAAGAGGCTTTGATCTTTCTCCATGTACGTATCAGTTAAATAACTTTATCTCTTGGAGGGACCTCATGCTGATATCATTTTCCTTACTTCAGCTCCTGAAATTGTGATTCTGAATGTCTAGAAATTTCACTCTCCTGTTGACTAGAAGCCTTTGCTTCAGTTGTCTACGTCTTAGGAAATGAAATGCTTTCTGTAGCACAGGCAGAAGGAGCTTTGGTTAGGAACAGCCTCTGATCTCAGCATGGGCTCTATATTCGCCAGAGACAGGATGTATCTGGGATCTGGTAATGCAATATCATTGTTAGGTGCCAAAGGACCAGCCTGTTCTGCTGCCCATAAAATCAGGATGTTTTTAAGGAGAGCAAGGAGATATTTCATAACAATTTTTTTTCAGGACTATATTAAGCCACTTTAAAAATAGAAAGTTTGTATCAAGTCCCATCATGGCATGCTACGTGCTTCCTGCTCTGTCCCTTCATGCCCACTTTTCTGTTGTTAGTGTTTTCTTTGGCAACAAAGAACTCTCGCTTACATTAAGAAAAAAGGGGGAAAAGAAAAGAGAACACATACCTGTCAGCATTTTCAGAACCTCACTTTCATGGAGCTGCCCCATCCAGGTGGACACCAGCACCAGCAGCCAAAGAGCATGCCTGCCGTTCTGTGCCAATGGCACAGCAAACCAGTGGGTCCAGCATTTCTCTGGACTTCTTCAAACCTCGCCTGCCCCACCAGTTCAACCCTTGCTTCAGCAGCAGTGCTGGCGTGACTTCCCCCATAGCAGCTGTCCTGAGGGAGCAGCAATATGCCTTTGGCACAGGCTGGGTGATTTCCCAGTGCCTGCCCTGCCTAGCCTAGGATGGGTACCCAGGCCAGGCAGCCTTCTGGATCCACTTTTGGAGATCTCCTGTTGCCGTCAGGGCTGCACCCCCTCATGCCCAAGACCAGGGCCTCAGCTACCACCCCACTGTTCTGGATATCCCTATGACAGGATGGGATGGAGGGCAGGAGGAGTAGGGGGGCTGTTACT